AACACCGTAGGATTGAGGGTTTTTTTTATAGAGGTGTCCGTCCTAGCAGTACAAGTGGCTAGGCTTAGGCCCCGTGCCTGTGAGATAAGACCAAAGGATTACGGTCTGGGGCAGCCCTTTCGGGTTACACACTGATTTTTATCTCGAGCTTTTCTACACTAGCTGAATACCTAGGTTACGCCTGCACCCTTCATACTTAGCTACTACAGTCATGAGGAACAAGCACCATCCTACTCCCCATTTCATAAGTTATACAATATACCTTTTCTAAACAAGATAATCATTTTGGTGTAAAAGTACATACGTTTTACCTTTGCATTCCGATGTCTTGTTGTTTTTATTTATCATACTTGGCAAATGATGTAGATAATTTTTATCATATTGATTCTCAAGGAAGAGGATGCCCATATACTAACAGTCTTTTCTATGTTTATGAGAGCGTCAGCAACTCACTGTCTGAAGCACAAAAAAACCTAGAACATCTTTTTCTATAATGTGCAGATTTCGCATTCTTCTTTATATTCCAAGAGAGAGAGACTGAGAAGAGAGATGACAAGAGGGAACAACCACTCTTGTTGTCTATAATATGTTTGGTATGGTTTGGTGGAACAATCAGATTAAAAAATCTGATCGTTCCACTTGCATGTATTTGTATTTTAAGATCTCGCAGTATTTTTTTAACAAAACAATATGGCAAAATTTCAAAATAAAACTAGACTTGCCCTGCACTTAGCCATGGCCGAATGTCTACTTTACTGCATATTATAATTTACCCACATAAAGATTGGGTCTGAAAGTAAAGCAATACATTTATAAATATGTATATAACATTAAGAAATGTTTCCGGACATATGTTTCGATACATCTAAACACATTGTACCTAGATAGAAACCCTGGCATGAAAAATGTACATCAATGTTTCCAAGCCTTTGGAAACATCTCAAAACGTATCTAAATGTTTTGAAACGTTTGTAGTAACATTGCATGAGCAAATACAAAAGTTGCCATGTAATTAGAGAAGTATATAGTTTCTCGTCATTGTAAATCGGTCAGTTTATATCCATCAGCTGACGATTGACTTGCAACGATTCCCTATTACGCCGCCGTGCTACTCACTCTGCAGTAGGGTGTCCCGTCAATGTATGGGATTTTTTTTTTTTAAAGCGACGGCTACGCAAGAGGTATCAAAAGTTGCGTTTTTGTGAATAGATTACAAATATAACAAAATTTAATTAAATATTTGTCATCTTTAGGCCTCTACCGATCCTATAAGTTTTTCAAATTTGCCATTTTTAGAGGTTTCGAACATAAACTATAAATGATACAAAAATAATGTTTTAAAGGTTTTAATCAAATTTATAGGTACTACAAAGACATAAGGTAATGTTCAGTAAAGTTTAAATACTTATAATTAGTGCTTATTTCAAATACGAAATTGGTTCTTGTGGCCAAAATTAGGCATTTCCGCGCGAGATTTTCTGTTCTGTCTCTGTTTCTGATTAAACCATCCCGAGCTGTAGCGTCCGTGACACTTAGAAAATCCTCCGTCACTAGCTTTACACATCTTTCCACTGATTGTGTATGACAGGGGAAATCAATAACATCGAAACTTTGTTCTTTAGCCTTAATTCTCAGTTCGTCGTCGGACATCTGTCGCAAAATCGGTGGAGCGGATATCTCACACTCTTGCCAAAATATCAAATCGATGTAATATCGCGCATCGAAGTTAAGTTTTGGTACTTTAAATACCCTGCGAGTATTGCTTATTTCTGCTTCTCTTGCCTTTAATATTTTGCGAGCTGCAAGCTCTCGAATATGCTCTCTGTCGTCGAATAGCATGGTAACAAGTAAGTTTTCAGGGTGAGCAAAAAAAGCGTTTCTCTCGATCACTGAATTCACAATAGATCTTTTCAAAAATCGGGAGTATGTAACCATTTGAAAAATATGATTGGCTCCATCTTTGAATGATGAGTTTTTCTTAATGAGGAACCAAACTGGAGCATAAACTTTGACCACATAATTGACAAGCAGCTTCAAATTATTTGATGGCGAAACAGTACTTACATAAAGTCTGAGTATGCGATTGGCAGTAGTTAGCCATCTTGAATGCGCCATTTTTCCAGGTTGGCGGCTCGCTAACTCAGGGGAACAATAACCAGTCGTCACAGCATGACACTTCATCATAACATTTTAGTCACTTATAGTATTCTTACGAAAATTCGTATACATTTGAAGGTAGTTACAAGCAATAGAATAACGTTTGAAGTAAGTCTTTAGAGGTCTTATTTAAAGTGTTAGGACGTATTGAAGTGTTTTCATACTTACCTAAATAATTTTTAAACGGTCCATTATTTTTGTTATTTTATTGTCGAACAAATTAAAACTAATCCTTAAGAAGTTATGTACAAAAGATGGTTACAATCCGCTTACCCGTTTCAGAGATCCAGCAAACCCACAAACGTTACTCCAGCAGGATTTCGAATAACTTCGCAGCCGAAGAAAATACAATTACCAAATAAGTTGTAACATTTACCTAGTCCAGATAACTAATTATTTAGCTAAAATTTATTTCAATATTACAATTAAAAAAGAAAATGTCTGGCTGCGGTAACGTTTCAAACGTTACCCCAGCAGGAAATGTTTTTTTGAAATAACTAAAAAAGTTTAAGTGAAACAAATTTAAAAATGTGCCTAACAATTACAGAAGGGGAGCAACTAATTATCTATAAAGTTTAAATGACCATTTTCGATATTATTTTGCTGGGGTAACGCACACGAGCAAATTGCCAGCCACTGCACAAAAAGACACTAGTGGTTTACTTTCACAAACATTTAGCTGTTTTCCAATAGGTCCTGAGGCCCAGATGTGCTACCATCTAGAGACATAAACAAATGGCGAAGCGGTAATTCATTTGTGTGAAGCATACAAACACACCATTGTAACGGTCTCTTCAAATAGTCTTCCAGGTATTTAATGACACCTCCTTTCCAACCTGTATTTGTAGGAGTGCCATCGCAACCCACACAACTTACTTCTTCTAAGTTCCATCCTTGATTTTCTAACAATTCTATAATAGAAGTGACAATCCCTTTCGCAGTACCTCGACTCGGCGTCGTATGTCCCAAGTAAATAGATCCCGGCTCTGTAAGAACTGAAATGTGTTCTTCTAAGACTTCTTTTCGGTGGTACCGGCTGTCTATTTTATTGATCTTGAGAGTTTTATCTTTTCGCCTATCGAAGTAGATACTCTTTATAATAATTTTATCGATGTCTTTGCTGGCTTGGGTACGTGACTTTGAAACAGCTCTGTGAATCTTATTTTTATCAATCACAAGGTTTAGATCTTCGGCAGATACCATTCCTACGTCAACTAAGACTGCTGAAGCGACTGCAGCTGCCGAACGCGTTGATAGTCCGTATCGATCACATACCTTAGCTACTGTTGGCAGCGTCAGAGTGTTCCGACTAAATGAATTAGATGGAGACTCCTTTAAGTCACTTTTAGTAGAAGGTTCTATTGAAAGCGACTGTGAACGAGGCGGCAACACGCGTACCGGTACAGTATCGGTTTGTGAAGTACTCGGAAAACATGCTTGCTCTGTCCGCTTCAAATTTTCTTGTCTTTGATGTTTCTTTAAAAGCCTTGCAGTTTCTTTTGCGTCTACGCCGCTTATTGCCATTTTCCTATCATTTCTTTGGTCCAGTAAAAAATCTCTTTCAGAAATGGGAACTTTTTTGGGTTTAGTGCAGGAACAATTTTCAAACGAAGTGCACTTACAAGCAGCGATGTCAAAAAGCTTATTTGACGATTCCAAAAAGCACTTAACTTTGTTGTCATAGCTATCGTTTCTCTTACTTTTAGGATATCTTATTAGTGATAAATATTTGTTCAAATAATTATGCGGTTAGCAGTTGAGTAACCCGTACGTTAGAAACGATGGGAATTGAAGCTTTGGTCCAAATTGTGTTAAGTTTTCCAGAAACTATTGAAACGACTTCTGTGTTCGATGGATCTTTTCCGTTTTTCTGTAGTTTTAATTCACTTTTAGTAAATAAAATGCACTTAATAACGTCTTTTATAACAGCTAATTGGCGATCGTCAAGTTCTTTATAAGGTCCCAATATAGTACAAGTAGTCTCACTTCGCCTTGAACACATTTTTATGATTAAGTAACGCAAATTACGTTTTTCTTTCAAAGAAGAATAGAACAAAGAATGAAAAATAGAAGAAGAACAACTCCTTACAACAGTAAAATCGAAATAGAAATGAGACGAACTGTCTTGTTGTAAAAGTAGCGCACGTACGAAAATCAAGTCAAAACATGAATTTTGTAGGAATTTTGCAAGTCCGATCCAAACCGATTGATCGCTAAAACAACCTGTCGATTGTTGTCGACTTGCAAATCATAGCCGAGGCTTTTCTTATTGATAAAATTACAAGACAAAACAGGATTGATTCATAAAACATAGAATATACGACATTGACTACAAGGCTGTTTTTGCGAATTTTCAGTAAATAAAAATGCTGGTAGAGCCCTAAGGATATTTTTAAATATTTTTTGAATTATTTTTACGCTAATCTACGTCTAACAGCGCAACTTTTGAGAGGTCTTAAGTAGCTAAAATAAGAATAAAAAAATTTCGGGACACCCTACTCTGCAGTAAGGATGTCTGGAATGTTTGAACTGTGTACAAATGTTTCCAACAGTCATAGAAAGTTTAAAAATGATTGTGATCATTTCTCAACAAAACATTTAGTAACCTCTGGCTAAAAACAAAGCTGTTTGAAACTATTTCCAACTGTCATAACTCTCCACCGGTGTGAGAGTACCTTTAAGAGGCTCAAGGTTTACATGTTTAGTTTTCAGGTTACGTATAGTATTACACAAATTATAAGGACACCAGGGTCGAAGAAGTTAAATTATGTGTCAGGATTTCTTTCTTCGAATTTGTAGTCGGTGTATCGAATTTTTACTACAACAATGTATTTTCTTTTCAGGATAAATGGAAATTAGTACCTGCTTTTTTGCAAGTCAAAGGATTAGTAAAACAGCACATAGATTCTTTCAACTATTTCATCAATGTGGAAATTAAGAAGATAGTACAAGCGAATGAGAAAGTTTTTTGTGATTCTGATCCCTTATTTTACATAAAGTATTTAAATGCTTATGTGGGGACACCAGACTTGGAAGAAGGTTTTAATGTTACTAAACCTACAACACCTCATGAATGTAGACTGAGGGACATGACATACTCTGCACCAATCACTGTGGACATTGAATATATTAGAGGAAATCAAAGGGTGATAAAGAATAAACAACTGATTGGAAGGTTGGTGTTTGATTTAATTATAATTCATTGTTTGTTAATTGCCATAGTCTCTTATTTGTGTTTTAAAACCATGTGTTGTTGCGTCACATGTTATAACTCTAGAACTAGAAAGGAAGTCCCCGAAAATCCCAGTAGCGTTTTTGACTTACATGATGTTTCGTATATCATATACATCTTCCAGGCCTAGAGATATTTTTAAATACAAAATTATCTCTAGGCCTGGAAGATGCAAGTAGCAATGAATTCACCTGGACGATCTATGTTATTGGTAGTGTTAACATGTAAAAGAGTGGCTATATATTCAACTATAGTTATACAACAATAGTGATTTTTATAGATTTAAAAAGAAGTGATAACAATTATTTAAATGCAATTAATATTGTGCAATCTGAATTGCACTTTGTGGTGTTGGAGCAGAAGGTATTAATTATTTTTAGGGTGCCGTACCTCAAAAGATAAAAAAGGAACCCTTATAAGATCACTTTCTTGTCCGTCTGTCCGTGTGTCACCACCGATTTTCTCAGGAACGGGTAGACCTAGCAAGTTGAAATTTATACCAGATACTAAGGTCTATGGTATGGATAAAATAAAAAAAAGTTGTAAATTAAGATTATTTTAATAATTAAGATTTTCGCGAAAATCTACGTAAAATCTGGGTTGTTACGGAACTCTCGGCGCACGAGTTAGACTCGTACCTGACTGGATTTTTGAATTACAAATTAAAACTTCTGTATTAGTATTATTATGTATTCTGTTATAATATTGTACTACTTTACTTACAGGATGCCACTGATGTTACGTTCATCAAACTGTGTACTAACTAACAAGTCTGACTTTGAGCTTGCTCAACTTAATGAATGTCCGCATGATCCAGGTGGTTACTTTATTATAAGAGGTAAGTATGGCTAATTACTGAATCATTTTTTGTCTACGTAGGACCGATACATATTGTGCTATATACGTCATCTCTCTCATATCCCCAAAGAAGGAAGAGAGGAGCCAGAGGCGTATTAAACGCACATACACTCTTTAGTCCCACTTACATAGCAGGGGGCTAGTCTGGTGAAGTCAACTGGGCATTATAATATATGGAAAGGAAAGATGTATAGAAGGGAAAGCAATGTTAAGAAAGCCATATGTATTCTTTAAATAGATGGATTGGGAAATGTAACCAATAGCTCAGGTTGGTTAAGTTGAACCCGGTAACCTTCATCTTTTATATTCGTAATTTAACATGAACCCTTGGTAGCATAAAAGTAGTGGTAAAATTGCAATAGATTTCTTATGAAGTATTTAGTTTCTTATATTAGTGTGTGTAAAAATGAATGTAAGTACCTATAAAAAATTATTGAAATCTAAAACAATAAATCAATGTCAACTTTCAGGCCAAGAAAAAGTAATATTGATTCAGGAGCAACTCTCAAGGAATCGTATGATAGTTGACGAATTCAAAGGTGCCATACAATGTCAAGTTACAAGTTCTACACATGAGAAGAAAACTAGAACGAATGTTATTGTTAAAAATGGCAAATATGTACTGAGACATAATGCTCTATCTGATGTAAGTACTATAAAGAAAACTCATATAACTATACAATGTAAAAAGGTTGTATGCTTTATTTGTGTGTATGTGTGTAAGTTATTGAATGCATTAGAATGTATCATGTATGATTAAAGTCTTGTTGGCAAACTGCCATAAAATTCTTATGTGATAACATAATATAATGTAACCTAGTAACATTCTATAAATAATTTTCAGGACATTCCAATAGCAGTTGCATTTAAAGCTATGGGAATATGTAGTGATCAAGAAATTATACAACTCATTGGTTCACATGATACGGTTATGAAAAAAATGGCGCCTTGTATCATGGACTGCCATAATTTGAAAATTTTTACACAAAATCAGGCCCTTGCTTACATAGGAAGCAAATTAAAAGTTAAAAGGTAATTTTGAATTATTTACTTCACAAATATAGAAGCTACAGTGTTGTAGTCTCTCATCTCAATCATGTGAACTAACTCTGCTGAAAAAAGTCAAGGTAACTAGGATCGAACTTTATTACAGAACATCACTCAAGTGATATATCTATAAAAAAAGTTCTATGTTAGTTTTTACTCACTCATAAATGTATCTAACTCTCATTTTGTCTATTGTAATATACTAATAATGTGAGAGTATATATAGATAAGTATGGTACCTAATCTTATGCAAAACCTTAGGTGTGAACAATAGATGGAATAAATCTGAAATTGAAATCACATTTAAAAAGTTTGCTCCACAATAGTCTCCAGTTTTATTTGATGATTTCATCATAATTCTTCTATATTTTAAAGGATAAACATAAAAATATTTAAAGTTACGTGCTCTATAATAGATTGTAGTGTAACATACAGCTACAATCCAAAGGAATAACATGCTCTTCAATATGGGATAAGAAAATAATGCACAGCCCGAGGAGTACTAAATATAAAAATGACCAAAACTTTTTGTTTGATCAAAAGTTGTAATTGTTGTTTTAATTAATATATATTTTAACGCAGGTTTCAAACGGGCAATCAAAAAGCTCGGACTCCTGTAGACGAAGCCAGAGATCTTCTAGCTACAACTATTCTTGCTCATGTAGCTGTTGACAATTATAACTTCTACGTAAAGGCTATTTATTTAGCAATTATGGTAAAGAGAGTAATCGAGGCTGAGACTAACAAAGCCGCAATAGATGACCCAGACTATTATGGGAACAAAAGGATGGAGCTAGCAGGATCTTTACTAGCTTTGATGTTTGAAGATCTTTTTAAAAGATTCAATTGGGAGTTAAAATCTATCGCCGATAAGATAATACCTAAGGTTAAAGCTGCTCCATTTGATGTTGTAAAACATATGAGACCAGACCTAATTACTAATGGATTGTTTGCAGCTATTTCCTCAGTAAGTTATAAAAAACTAATGAATTGTTTTGTATATATATATACTCGTAAACATATTTGCCCGAATACTCTATCTAAATTGCTTGTATGTTTATAGGGTAATTGGACCATCAAAAGATTTAAAATGGAGAGGCATGGAGTAACACAAGTGTTAAGTAGACTGAGTTACATTTCGGCTCTCGGCATGATGACCCGAGTGAATTCTCAATTTGAGAAAACGCGCAAAGTGTCTGGACCGCGATCGTTGCAGCCTTCGCAGTGGGGTATGTTGTGTCCTTCTGACACACCTGAAGGTGAAGCATGTGGCCTCGTGAAAAACTTGGCATTAATGACTCACATTACAACAGAGTGTTCTGAATATCCTATAGCCAGGTTGGCTCGTAACTCTGGCGTTGAAGATGTAAGAATTTTGGGCGGGGAAGAAATCAATCATCCAGCTGTCTACATGGTTTTCCTTAACGGTAAGCTCTATTCATCATAAATATATTCCCTCGTAATCGATTGCTACATATCTGAATATACACGCATCAGCGTGTGGTCCTCTCTTTTCTTCCTTCTTTAGAAATAAATCTGGTTACGGTTTAAATAATTTTATACAATTATTAACTTTCAGGTAACATATTGGGCGTTATGAGACAATACAAGAGACTAATCAAAGTATTTAGAATGTTTAGACGACGCGGTCTTATTTCAGCGTTTGTGTCGATTTACCCAAATCATAACCAAAGAACTGTGTACATTTGCAGCGATGGGGGCAGATTGTGCAGGCCATACATTATCGTAGAAAAAGGTTCTCCATTAGTTCAGCAATCACATATTAACGAACTAAACAGAGGAATACGAAAATTTCAAGATTTTCTCAATGATGGCCTTATTGAATACTTAGATGTAAATGAAGAAAATGACAGTCACATAGCCACATTTGAAACAGATATAGATCCTTATGTAACAACTCACTTAGAAATTGAGCCCTTCACAATTCTAGGAGTATGTGCCGGGCTAGTGCCCTACCCACACCACAATCAAAGCCCAAGGAATACCTATCAATGTGCTATGGGTAAACAAGCCATGGGTAAGTGTTTATACTCAGTACGTAATTTCTTGGAAAACGGTGATGTCTCTTTATTGTTCAACCACGATTTACATCAGTTTTTATATTCATTATGTGGATAGTGATTATGCTGTTTTGCATTGTTTGTTTGTTTGTTTTCTTTTATCATCTACAAACCAAGATGTAAATCTTGGTTTAAATAACGATTAGATTCGAAGAATATTTAAAACAATGTACCCCATAGGTATAGATATATTACCTACAAGTCTGCCGTATGAAAAAAAGTTAACCAAGAATTGACTCTTTGACTTGATATTTTAGGGTTTATAAGAATAACAAGTTTTTAACTTACTTTTAATATTTCAGGAACTATTGGCTATAATCAAAAAAACAGAATTGATACGCTAATGTATAATTTAGTGTATCCGCAGTGTCCTATGGTTAAAACAAGAACAATAGAGTTGACAAATTTTGACAAACTGCCGGCGGGGCAGAACGCTACAGTTGCAGTAATGAGTTACAGTGGTTATGATATAGAAGATGCCTTGATTCTCAATCAGGCATCTATTGATCGCGGTTACGGCCGCTGTCTTGTATACAAAAGCGCAAAAACCATTATGAAAAGATACAGCAACCAAACATCGGATAGGATAATGGGTCCTTCACGAGACGCCACTACTGGTAAAGTTATAAAGACCCATGATATTTTAGATGCAGACGGTATTGCTTCGCCCGGTGAAATGGTTGAAAACAGACAAGTGTTAATTAACAAGCAAATGCCTCCTGCAAATTTGAATCCTGTCACCCAGGGTCAGCCACAACAAGTTGACTATAAAGATGTTCCAATAACGTATAAAGGACCGGTCGAATCTTATGTAGAAAAAGTTATGGTCTCGACAAACAGCGAAGATGCTTCCCTTATCAAAATATTATTGAGGCAAACCCGAATTCCGGAAATAGGGGATAAATTTAGTTCGAGGCATGGACAGAAAGGTGTTACCGGTTTAATAGTACCACAAGAAGATATGCCATTCAATGATCGAGGAATTTGTCCTGATATGATCATGAACCCTCACGGATTCCCCTCTAGAATGACTGTTGGTAAAACTATCGAGTTATTAGCTGGAAAAGCTGGGCTTCTGGAAGGAAAATTTCATTATGGTAATGAATTTATTTTTTATTATTGTTAATAACAATACTTACATTTTACAATATATTACATATAAAACTAGGCTTATACATGAGTTAATTTATTATTGACAGGTACAGCATTTGGTGGCTCCAAGGTTCTGGACGTATGCCACGAGTTAGAAAAACATGGATATAACTATCATGGCAAAGATATTTTCTATTCTGGCTTAACAGGAGAACCCCTGGAGGCTTACATTTATTCTGGCCCAGTAAGTAAACAAAAATCACGTCTCTTAACACGAATACTGCTGTTAGTAATATATATACATTGTTAGATATAAATATACATATTTGGGTTATAACTTTACGTAACTTTATTATTTTTAGTTTTCGAATACTTGTCAGATATACATCGACTAATTTTAAAAATAGAAAGTTTGCCCTTTCCGAAATTAAAAAAGAAATTTATTTTCAAATATGGAGTGGTCGAAGAAGGAAGATAGAGTCGCGGTTATCGCGATGCACCGCTATAGCCAACAGAGGTTTTCAATATTCTGCAAAATTTTAAAATTACACTGAAGATTCAAGCTTCAAGCTAAACCAAAGCAGTGAAGTAGTTTGTTACCGCGGTACACGGGATAAAAATACCGCAAAATTTTGTTTACGAAAAATTTTTTACCATTGAAGAAAGTTACAACAAACAAAATGATAAGGTGTCTGGCGACAGCATTGTAAAAACGTGAATTCCGAGAGTCCAGCGAGGGCATAATCCTTCGTCATTCATGGTTCGGCTTGGAGTATGAGATTCAGTCTTAATTGAAATGTTTTTTGCGAAAAAGGTCTCAGGTTCTCAGGGAAAACTTAACATATTCATAAAGAACGCGCGAACAATTTTGACACCTAATAACAGAATAGCTGACGGATAGAATTACCGTCATGCTTAAAAGATTGTAAGGATAGGTACTTGGTGTGCGAGCGAAACTAGCACTTGTTCGGTTTTTTTAATAGATGTGCCCATTTTTTTAGGTGTACTATCAAAAGTTAAAGCATATGGTCCAAGATAAAATGCACGCACGTGCAAGGGGCCCTCGAGCAGTACTTACTCGTCAACCTACTGAAGGACGGTCACGTGACGGTGGACTTAGGTTAGGAGAGATGGAGCGTGATTGTCTCATCGGTTACGGCGCAAGGTAATCAACATAACATTACTACCTTTTATTGGCTGTACTCTAATCGAGTAGATTTTGTCAACCGACTAACCATCTCTCGGGAACAGTACTTTTCTCTTGTTGGAAAACTACACCCCTGACGACGTGAATGCGAAAGCACTAAACTGTGACGAATAAATTATATCTTGAACTGGTTCCTTGGGCTTTAAAAGTATGATTATAATTAAAATATGTTTTCAGCATGCTGTTAATGGAACGCCTGATGCTCGCGTCGGACGCGTTCAGCGCGGACATCTGCGGCGCGTGCGGGCGCCTGGCGTCGCGCGCGTGGTGCCACGCCTGCCGCTCCTCCGCCGCCGTGTCCAGCGTCGAGATGCCTTACGCCTGCAAGTTGCTCTTCCAGGAGCTCGCCTCCATGAACATTGTTCCTAAGCTCACTCTTAAGAAATATTGTTAAGCGATTTGTATTTAATATGTACTTCAAATAAATTGATTCCCTCGATTTTTTGTTTGTTACTGGTTACGTGATTCATAACGATATCTGCGGTGATGCTATGGAACTAAGTAGTGCATTTATGAATTAAGTAGGTGATAACGAGCCTTACATATTTTTAATAAGTATATTATTATATTTAATATCAGAGCTGACATATTTGATAGGAAACAACACAACTTGTACTGGTAGGAATAACAAGACGGGTGAAATACAACCACAACTTGTCATTTTCTGCACGCTTTCTATTTGGGTCTAAGCTAAATATGCAAGTGTATGATTTTATCAATCACCAAACAAATGTAAAAGTGTAATAAATAATACACTGGGCAGCAAATAAACCCCTACCTTGAAACTGGCTCGATTTTCTCAAAAAGTATATAACTTACAACTATCACAGTTAACTACCTACAGAAAACGTGTTTCATGATGATTAAAATGAATGGAAACTCATTTGGGTTAATCAAAAAATTAAAGCCAAAAACGTGTGCGTTACCCCAGCAAAATAATGTCGAAAATGGTCATTTAAACGTTATAGATAATTAGTTGCTCCCCTTCTGTAATTGTTAAGCACATTTTTAAATTTGTTTCACTTAAACTTTTTTAGTTATTTCAAAAAAACATTTCCTGCTGGGGTAACGTTTGAAACGTTACCGCAGCCAGACATTTTCTTTTTTAATTGTAATATTGAAATAAATTTTAGCTAAATAATTAGTTATCTGGACTAGGTAAATGTTACAACTTATTTGGTATTTGTATTTTCTTCGGCTGCGAAGTTATTCGAAATCCTGCTGGAGTAACGTTTGTGGGTTTGCTGGATCTCTGAAACGGGTAAGCGGATTGTAATGATTTTTTGTACATAACTTCTTAAGGATAAGTTTTAATTTGTTCGACAATAAAATAACAAAAATAATGGACCGTTTAAAAATTATTTAGGTAAGTATGAAAACACTTCAATACGTCCTAACACTTTAAATAAGACCTCTAAAGACTTACTTGAAACGTTATTCTATTGCTTGTAACTACCTTCAAATGTATACGAATTTTCGTAAGAATACTGTAAGTGACTAAAAAGTTATGATGAAATGTAGCTCTCCACGTTCACGATCACAATGTGTGCGGCCTTTTTTGGCCACCGATAAACCTGTGTGTGGATATATAAACTGAATGTCATGCCAATAATTAGTTGTTTAGTTCAGTTGTCTACCTGTAGAATTTCAGCGTCGTGCATATAATAATTTACGAGATAATTAAATAAAAGTCATTAGAAGGTGCAAGTCCGTGGTAATCCGACCATGTTTAGGTGGTTACAAAAAAGCGATCACCCAGTACATTGCGCTGTCTTTTAAAATGTTTAGTGTAATACACCTTACGATTTCGGTACAGTTGCGTAGTGTTAAATACATTCAATATTTATTCATTATTATTACCTATTATTTATTTTGTTTTTTTCCCTAATTGATCTTAAGTACTAGTTTCTTTACTTAAAATTTATTTAGTCTTTTTTACTACCGGAGCTACAATCAACAGAAAATCTGCACTGGTCCGCTAAAATTATAAATATGTTAATATATAAATATGAACGATTCACCTGACTGCAATAAAACGAAAATTTAAACCAATAAGAAATCGTTTCATTTCTTTGATTTTTTTTGTAAAGAAATAACACTAAAGTAATTGTATTTTATTTTGGGGTGTATAGAGCTTAGACTTGAATGCATCAAAATATTTAAAGCAACAAGTCATCTACAATAAGTTAAAATAGACCGAATAGTAGAAGAATACAGTTGTAAATTAGAATGCATCAACATTGAATCGCCCAACAGTCGTATACCTCGTAAGAGTAGGTAATATTGTTCTGTGGTCTATACCTAGAACCGAGAATTATCTATACCTATGTACCTACCGTTAAGCGTTGAGCCCGTGACTGTTGATTTCTGTTAAAAACGAACAGTTGTTGAATGATATTTTGATATAATAACGGTAATTTAATTTATCGAGTGAAAGTGATACATTTTTATAGATAAAATTATTGGTCAGATAATATTTGTCAATCAAGAATCGCTAGAACGCGGGAGGGGAGGGGCGAAGGGATACTTCATTTGTTTGTTTGCAATTTGCATCTAGTGCACTAAACTTGCAGATAATATACGTGTTGTAAAGTACGTGTGCGCTTCCGCTTTCTATTTTTGCAAATATGTATCGTATTCTTGAGAGTTCTTCAATATGTGTGTACCTAATTACTAATAATAGGCATTAATGCTAATTCGATTCAATTTAAGTAATTGTCAATTCTTGTCTTAGGATATTAATTACTAATGCTAATATTGAAATTTCGTTCAGGGTGAACAAATTAAAAACGATCATAACTTTTAGGTAGGTATATCACTTAAGTATTACTAATTTTACATAAATAATTTATTTTATTATAATTTAACTCACCGCGATTTTGTGATCAAATATTTTATATTCTCCAACATTATTACAGAAATAATGCAATACAGAGTTTGTTCGCGATATGCTAGCCTAAGTCGATTCATCACTTAAAAAAATCCCCATCTATTCACAAAATACCTATATATACACCTATATATATATACCTACCTACCTATATATATATACCTATATATATACCTATATATATACCTATATACCTAATTATAAGTTTTGAAGAGTGTAACGTATGCGTTGTAACGCATACGTTACACTCTTCAAAACTTATAATTTCATTTCATTTCATATTTCTTAAATTACCTAGACCTACCCTAAAATTAAACTTCAATTAACAAATACTACGCAGGTACCAATTCTATGAACAACTATAAACAATTCACCTAAACATTACGAGAAAACAAAAGCATTCAAAACAATACCTAATCTCCCGGCTGATTACTAATTATGCAATAAACAATCCTAAATAAAAAATATTTAAAAAACATGTAGTTTTTTGTAACACTTATGTACATATCCGTAGTAAACTTGCAAATAATATCCTACATATTTTAAAAGCCAGCACAATGTACTGGGTGATCGCTTTTTAGTAACCACCTAAACATGGTCGGGTTACCACGGTCTTGTACCTTCTAATGACTTTTATTTAATTATCTCGTAAATTATTATATGTACTACGCTGAAATTTTACAGGTAGACAACTGAACTAAACAACTAATTATTGGCATAACATTTAGTTTATATATCCACACACAGGTTTATCGGTGGCCAAAAAAGGCCGCACACATTGTGATCGTGAACGTGGAGAGCTACATTTCATCATAACTTTTTAGTCACTTACAGTATTCTTACGAAAATTCGTATACATTTGAAGGTAGTTACAAGCAATAGAATAACGTTTCAAGTAAGTCTTTAGAGGTCTTATTTAAAGTGTTAGGACGTATTGAAGTGTTTTCATACTTACCTAAATAATTTTTAAACGGTCCATTATTTTTGTTATTTTATTGTCGAACAAATTAAAACTAATCCTTAAGAAGTTATGTACAAAAGATGGTTACAATCCGCTTACCCGTTTCAGAGATCCAGCAAACCCACAAACGTTACTCCAGCAGGATTTCGAATAACTTCGCAGCCGAAGAAAATACAAATACCAAATAAGTTGTAACATTTACCTAGTCCAGATAACTAATTATTTAGCTAAAATTTATTTCAATATTACAATTAAAAAAGAAAATGTCTGGCTGCGGTAACGTTTCAAACGTTACTCCAGCAGGAAATGTTTTTTTGAAATAACTAAAAAAGTTTAAGTGAAACAAATTTAAAAATGTGCTTAACAATTACAGAAGGGGAGCAACTAATTATCTATAAAGTTTAAATGACCATTTTCGACATTATTTTGCTGGGGTAACGCACACGCCAAAAACAGAATATTTTTTTTAGGATAGTAGGTATTTAGCATTCACAAGTCTGACGGTGAAATCTTCAGTAATTGCATCTACTCCTCTTAAATTGCGATCTGCAGATCTGGATGCATTGTTGGAGCAGGTACCCGGGCTCAAACCCGACGTTTTAGCTAAACCCTATCGGACTCAAGTCCAGGCTTCGAGCTGGCCAGTCCATTGTATGAATGCCGACGCTGCTTAGGTACTAGTTCACCACATGAGCTACATGAGGCCGTGCATTATCATGCATCAAATGCATATTTTGCCCGATATATCCTGCGTAAGATACTAGGAGTACATGGTCTGCGAGGATTTTAGTGATGTAGCAATGAGAAGTCAATTAACGAATACGGCACGTCCCACGGTGATCAATTTTCAAAAGTTACTGCGATGGCCAGACCGTGGACACGGCTCTCCACACGCTGGCAGAGTGCCCGGCGTGGGTTAAGCAGAGGCGAGACCTCGTGGCGGCCATCGGAATGGGAGTTCTCTCGCTCGATAGCCTGATTGCGGCTATCGTGCGTAGCGAGAGTGCGTGGAACTCTGCCGTCTCCTTTGGCGAGCAACTTATGCGGAGACGGTGGAGCAGGATCGGGAGAGGTTTAGGACTCTCCCGGCCCGCCAGGCCCGGGAACGGGCCAGGTACCGCAGGCGACTCAGGCGCCGGAGGTCGAAGAACGACCTCCGTCATCCATAAGCGCAGGCCTGGAGGTGACAGGTGAGGCCATCTGTCACCCTAGCAGAAACAGGCCGAGGTGGCGGCGAGGAGGGAGCAGAGGGAACATGGGGTTCTCAAAGGGGGGGTCGTCTACCTATTGTTGTAGATGGCCCGAGGTATACCTGGTTCCCCGGCTATTAGTACCCGAGAGGGCGTGCGGTTTTAGTCGGTTCGAGTCCGACATGCCACCGATAGGTGGTATCCGAGGGGATTTCCGCAAGGAAAAAAAAGGGGGGACGATATTATTCAATACTAAAATCGTGAATTAAATATATATTTATGCCATTAAATAGTATCGAAAAATAATTTTCATAAAATGTCACTTATTAATTAATATTTTATGTACCGTAAAACGGTGTTATTAGAAACAATCTAGACTTTCAAACCGACTTTAATAATATAAATTGTAAGTTTCGGGTAATAAAGCTGCTTTCATTGTGGGAGTCTTATGTTATTTTACAAGCCAATTACAATTTTAACGCCAAATTATTATCTACTTAGGAGAAAAAGACAAAAACCTGGTCAATTTCTATTTTCCCGGAATACGGGGTCAATAGATACGACGTATGGGGTTAATAGAGAAAAGTGATAGGGTTGTCAAAATATTTTATATTAGGTAGTATGACGTCACAGAGATAATTAAATAAAGAGTGTACATAATATATTAGAAAACGTTTTTATTAATATTAAAAATAAAATAATATCAACCTATAACAATGCTTATTAAAAAATCAGTTCAATAATGGTACTTAACCTTAGAATTGAGATCACCAAAAAAAATAAGCTTACTTAATAATTATTAAACGTAATAAAATTATATTACCTACTCAATCTGAAACATAATAATCAGTTCAAAAATAATTTTAGCCTCAGAATTAAGACTACAAAACAATTAAGCTTAATTAATAATTATTAAGCGTATGAAAACTATATTACAACACAGTCTGAAACATAATAATCTTCTGACAATAATCAACAAAACAGTGCAATAATCAGTTCAAAATAATTAAGGTGTTAAAATAATTAAGTACACAAAATGAGTATTTATTAAAAATTTTAGGATGTCAACATAAAGTGTTAATTCTGGAATGTTATACTTAAATGGCTCTTATCACAAACTCACTTTTTTTAATACGAATATTTTTTTTAATCAGTATCAGACATTAAATCGGATAATATGTCCTCGTCATTTCTGTAATAATTTCGATGTTTTTGTTGTTTTCTTTTCACTTTATTATCATATAATATTTTTGCTAATTGTTTAGGATCTGTAACTGAAATATCAGATAAAATTTCAATTTTGTTATTGCTTTTTATTTCATTACTTGAAATCATGGCATCAGAACTGACATTTAAATTGTCAATCGTTTCAAAATGATCAATAACAACATCATCACCAAAAATAATTGGTACCTTTTCTATATCTAAGTAATCATTAGCCTCACATGTACTCAAAGACTGTGGTAATAAGGCTGTTTCTTCTTTACAGAAGCTTGTGCTTGGTTCAGAGGTTAACTGACTTTCATGATCGTAAAACATCTGAGACGTTCCAGCTTCAAGATCATCTTGTAAACATTTAGCGGCGAGAGATTTCGTTTCATCTGTTACATTTGTTTGTGGTTGTGTTTTTGATTTCTTTCCAATTCCCTTTCCTTTCTTTGTTATTGGTTCGTTTTGCTTGTTAATGTCTTTACTTTCTTTATTTGTCTTCTTATTTTTTTTCTTTGGCTCTTGGTTCTCGATTTCTGTTACAGCATAACTTTCTTCAAGACTAACGCTCTTTCCAGGCTCTACTTCAATTTTTCTTTTTCTTTTAGGTTCAGCGACATTTATGGTTCCATATCTCATTTCTTTTAGTATTGTTAGAACAGATTCATTGATAGTTTCTGTTTGATGGCTAACTCTGTCATATCCAGGTAATCTTTTCAGTACTTGTGTAGGGTCCAGTGGATTTATTCCAGATTTTTTAAATCCTGATAAAATATTTTCTTTAGCATTGTGTTTTAGGGCGTCTAAAAGCATGGATAGTAGACGTGGAAAACATCCTTTTGGAACCGATGCTTGTTGGCGACCATCGGCTTTTTTCCATTGATACAAAATATTTCGCCAAGCTATTTTCATGGGCCTGAAAAAGGCCACATCCAATGGCTGTGTGATGTGGGTAGAATTAGCTGGCAAGAATACGAAACTTATGTTTTCTTCATGGCACAGTTTAATTAGATCTAATGAAAGGTGCGACGATAAATTATCACCGATCAATATTTTTCTTCCGGACCTACTCCTTGAAAATAGGGTATGATTACCGATTTAATCCAGTCTTGAAAAATGGTTCAATCAAACCAACCTGACTGTGATCTATTGTAACGAGTCCCTTTTGGCCCCTAAACGGTCCAAGTGTCATACAAATGTTGTGCTTTATAGACAACATAAGGAGGCAGTAATTCTCCCTCAGCTGTGCACGCAATCATAATAGAAACGGCAGACTTCGAGTGGTTCATCACCCGCTCTGGATATTTCACGCCTTTTTTTGTAATTATTTTCTTCCGCCCAGGATCATCCGAAAGATTCGTCTCGTCGTAATTTATAATATTGCACATAGGTACGCCTGATCATGAAATTTCTAATTCTTCAAAGTATTTTTTTATTATTTCAGGGGAAACAGCAGCCCGATTTCGCTTTATATTTTGTGATAATCTCTGAGAAATTGCATCTTTGTGCCTTTTCATAAAAGAGGAGACAAAATCTGGTCCAGGCATATTATTATTAAATCTCTTTTCATTCACACCTAATTTATCAAGATAGACCTTAACAAGTACTCTTAAATCATACGCCTCCAAAGGATAGCCAGCCAGATAGTCAGCACATATATTTATGTATTTAATGAATTCTTCTTCAGTTTCTTTGGATAAAACAGTTTGACCTCCTTGACTTTTCATATTTTTTGTGCAGTGTCTGTATAAAACAGATCTGTGTATATTATATTTCTTTGATATCGTATCAAGAGAACAATTACTCGCAGAATATTCATTAACTGCCTGTTCTATTAAGTTTAAGTCATATTTTATACATTTCTTACCCCGAGGGTCTGGTTTGTAGTTGCGTGGCATATTGCTCGCAACTATACCTGCGTACACAAAATCAATAATTAAATAATAAAAAATCAACTTTTTAAAAATGTAGGTAGGTAATAAAGTTAAAACTTAACAACCTGCATAAAGTGCCAACCCTACCAAAAGCGTTTCTAAAAACCCCTTTGGCGTTTCTATTAAACCCTTTCTCGTTCCTATTTACCCCTTTCCCGTTTCTAATCACCTCATATGGCGTTTCTATTCACCCCTCAGTCGTCTCTATTCACCTCTTAATCGAGAAATATTTATGGGTGCAGTTATTTTACTAATTTACCAATAAAAATCAAACTAATCAGTAAAACTTACCTTTTCAATTTATTCTGGATACACTTCACCGTCGAATAAAGTTATTTTAGTATCAAAAACACAATTTAAATAATAACTAGAGAGAAGTTAATAAGAGCACAAAAGACACACACACAACCGTTGCACTTTGAACTCACTTTTTTGATATAAGTTGCTAACTTCATACTATTCAAATGTTGTCAGACCAACAAAAAAATGTTGCCATTGTAAAAACAAAAAACACTATTGCGATTTTTATAGTAGTTTTCGAATATCAGGCTTTTAGACTTTTTCCCAAGAATATTTCTATTCACCCCGTGAATTCTATTCAACCCGTTTTACGGTATTTCATTACATCACTCAACATCTAACTCAACTTCTGGTTCTTGTAAAAGATTAAGCATCTCAATTGGCTTTTTTTTTTTTGTTCTACAGGTAATATTCTGAAGTTTTATGTTACAGGATCTGAAGCAATGAGCAAAATTTTCGTTAGATCTTTAGTAGTTTGATTCCTAATCGTGTTCCAGGTTTTATGCTCTCTGTAAGATCTTCGTAACATCTTTGTGATGACTTTCCAGTTCGACTTCTCCAAGCGTATTGGTAACAAAAAGTTGTCGATGATATCCTAGCCGTGTATGAGAACCTTATGGACTGTTGGTGTCTTAGGATACCGTTATATAGAGCAGCAGCGTCTGGCCATATTGCCGTTATTGCTATTTCAAATCCAGGTTTAGGTATCAACCAATAACCCTAGTTAGTCTAGAAGCACTGTTTGTATGCGTTTTTTTGTATTTTTTTTATTTTCTTAACACGTGCTTGTTTATTTTGTATCGCCATTTTTTATCCATTCTAAGCGTAAAAATAACGTTTATTTCGTCCCCCCATATCACCACTTTTACTACCAATTAACATTTTTTTCCTTACAAAATCTAAAGCTTAAAACATCGAACCCTTCTCCCTGATACGTGGAGAGGGGAACTCAACGGTTGGCAATACACACACGACTGGCGGTATTCACTACGTGACGGTACCCCAACTACCCGTTTGCCCTCCTATGCCATAAACAAGAAAGATCATTTTGATGACAGACCTTTTTATTCAAGTTATAAAAGAAAGTGACCAACCTATAATTTAAGATACAAAACATTAGTATGATTATTCATATTTAGACTGTTGATGTGAATTTTCTGATGAGATTATAGAATTAAAATAAAATACTTTGCAATGTATATTTATTATTTGTAAAATAATTAAGTTACAGTAATTAGTTGTAAAAAATGTTTTAGCTTTGGGAGCCTATATCGGAATGAAAAAAAAAACTATTACAATTTGATATATAAAATTTCTTCAAGCGTTTCCCCTTGACGCTTATTATTTAATTTTACTTTTTATTTAGACCATTTTATTGAATTTAATTTAAAGGCGGCTAAAAAGAAACGCAATTTATACTTAAAATATTTTATTACAATCCAATTACAAAAAACTTGTGATTTAAATTAGTCTTAACATTTTAGAACTTGCCTTTGTGAATACGAATGACACCCAGATGAAGGCTATTATTAGGACATAAGAGAAACCACTGAATGAAAACAGTCTGAACATGAAGTAACCGATAGTGACCCAGATAACAAAAGCATGAGAGCCGAGCCGTCGCAGTGATAAACGCGGAGGAAGCTCCTGTCTTACAATGTTCTGATGATTAGTAGTATCCTTCACGTAAGTCTGGATAACGCAAGGACTCTGCAATACTTCACGAGCTATATATCCACTTAGATCGTTGCTGTTCCATAGTTGGGTGAAGTGGTTGCCATACTGAAAGGGTAATTGTAGGTTTCTATTATCTTATCTCTTGGGTATAAAAAACCTAGAGAGAGTTAAATTATTGTTTTTCTTAAATTAAAATTACGATTTCTAATACCATAGAATACTTTTTCACAATATAATAGATAAAAATACACAAAAAGTACTTACAATTTCATTCAATCTTGAAGCTATTTGGTAGAACATTCTAACTAATATTGTACTTTCATATGACGCAATTGGCATTAGATCTGGATCACCCATGTAGGTCACTGCAGTAGGTTTGCTGCGGAGCTGGAAACATTATAAGCATTACAGTTACTCATATTAAATAACGATAATGCGCGAGGATAGGAGAGATATTCCGACTAAAACTGGTAAATCTTAAAAATCATTTTCTACACCATAGTACCCGAGGGTTCAATATTATGTCCAGGCTTACTATAAATGTTAATGTTATTTAAAGAACCGTTGGTTAACCCAGTGTCAAAATTTGTGATGTCCTAATTGCATATTTGTACGTCTTACAACTGAGATTTGCGTAAAAAAAATGAATATGGCAATGACTGCGTTACGTGGGCAAGTCAGCGCAGTGGGTATCTCTTGTACGTGTAGTATGTAAGGAGTTAAGAAGGCTAAAAGAAGTGAAATTTTTGGATAAATATGTAAGCACTTTGTGGTTATTTGTGTTTAGAAACAGCGTTTGCTTTGAACTTATGTTGAATTGTTATACGCGGGCGTCGTTTGTTTCGGGATCACGTAGAGGTTTCAGCCTGTAACATTGATTATAAAGCAGTAAAAGTAACAGTGTATAAAGTTTTGGGTGAAATAATGTACCTATACCATACCTTGCTAGTTATTGAAAGTGGAAAACTGGTTGAATTGATGTAAGACGAATGGTCCAAGGAATTGTCTTCAATGGTCGGTGGTTCGTTTGTTGCAAACGTGTTTTCGTTGAACTGAAATAGATGACATACATATAAGAATACGTAATACATACACATTACTTTAAGAGTTGTTTGACAACTGTGACTTCTCTGATAAGACTGCTTACAACAATGACTTCAGCGCTCCACGACGCCTCTCACCCTTCGTTCGCGGTGGGACGCCAGCGCATGATGTCAGTGTTACCACAAGAAAAAATGAGTATACATTTATTGTTAATGCTTTAATTTAATCTATTTGATAATCATAATTTATTTACATAGATTTATTTCAACAATATAAATATAATTCCTAATACAATGAACTACGGAATCACGATATATTTAAAGGACCGGACCGACCGGGCTCACAGGAAACCGGTGCGTTGCTTTTCACCAAGGGTCACTAAAAAGGGCGGCAACTCACTTATGTCTCTTGAGCTACGGGTATGCATGAATGGTAAGAACTTACCATCAGGTGAGCGGTCAGCTCATTTGCCATACCATGTCATAAAAAAACAGTATTTATTGTGGATTTCGTCACAATGTTGGCACATCAACTATCATTGTGTAACATTTTTTTTTTTAAACAATACTGTGACACTTTCTTGCAATACCCACATTTATTTTACTAGCAAGGCCATGCATTTTAAATAAATATTAAAGTACCCCAAAAATGCTGGAAAAGTGATGGATACTGGCGTTCAAATAAGTAGGTACTTTCTTGCACTCTTCTAAAAATATTACGTCTTCATCTTGGTTGCCAATCATCAGGAAATGCTTAAATGATGCCCAAATTCCTAAACAATAACAAAAAAATATACGCATATTAATAACAATTTGTGTATAAAACACAGAATTATTGAAGAATAGTCAAATAATTATCAATGATCTATGGTAATAATACCTTGATTACGTAAATATATATTACGGCTGAACTCTTCTACAAAATTTTCAGATTGCGCTTTTGCAGATATTATTTTTTTCATTAATTCTGACGCAAAATAGCGGGTGTTGTCGCCCCAGACAGGTTCATATTCATAATTCGCTGCCAAGTTTAACTCAGATATAGCTTGCTTCGCAATCGTCGCCCATTTATGTAGTGGAATACCATTGTATGTGTAGCTGTAAATAGATCCATTATTATATAACGTATTTACAGGACAATTCAAAAGATTTGAGGAGTAAATGGAGGTTACCTGTGTTCCAAGCCAGGATTGTAATTAATGTCGGGGCTGCTGCTCAATATAGAACCACTTTCTGTAATTCCTTGTTCTAAGTTTCGTAAAACAGGTATAAGATGTTGCTGTGAAAATACCTATAAAATCGAATTTACACAGGTAATAAAATGATCTCAAGATTGTAAACTGTAAAAGTTATTAGATAGTAGAAGTAATGATTCCCTAATTGTTCGTACATTTGACAGCACCGACGGCAACAACGATGTTAGGAGCGAAACAACGTGGTCGGAACTCCACCGCGGGACCTGGAGGCGAGAGCCCTTGCGGCTCTGTATCAGTGGCGCAAGAAGGCGCGGGAGTCGGGTCGGAGACCTGAGTCTCGAGAAATCGAGGACCAGACATCCTAACTCCGCAGGGTCTTCGTGGAGGAGTGGAAGGAGCGACTCGGGCAACCGAGCGCCGGGCACGCTGTTATCGCGGTGGTAAGATAAGTATGAAGGATTTGCTCAAAAGCATCAAAGAACCCTCTCATATCGGCTGGCGCAGGTGATCACCGGGAAAGGATGCTTTGGATATCACCTGTGTTTGATCCGCAAGGGGCCAAAGTTACCGGCGTGGGTGAAGTAGAGGCGTGACCTCGTGGCGGCCGTCGGAGTGGGAATTCTCTCGCTCGTCAACATGATTGCCACCATGGTACGGAGCGAGAGTGCGTGTAAGTCGGCTGTCTTTTTGCGAGCAAGTTATGCTTGCGAACAAGATGGCGGAGCGGGACCGGGAGAGGTTTAGAACACTTCCGGCCCACCAGGCCCCGGAACGGGCCAGGTACTGCAGACGACTGAGGAGGACGCAGAACGACCTTCGTCCTCCAAAAGCGCAGGCCTGGGGGTGACAGGTGCGGCTATCTGTCACTCTAGCAGAAGCAGGCCAGTATGGGTGACGGCGCGACGCGCTACTTAGAGCGCACGCCCTGCGGGGCAGGAAGGGAACATCGGGGTTCCCACACAGGAGAGGGTTATCTATAAGCCATGCCTAAGGTACGTCAGGGTACCAGATCTTTCCTTTCCTGATTCCCTGGCTACTGGTACCTGGAGACGGCGTGCGGTTTTTTATGTCGGTTCAAAGCCGACATAACCACCCCACTGGTGGGTGGTATCCGGGGGGTTCTGCACAGGAAAAAAGGAGGAAAACAATGACTCAATTAGATCTTATATCATTTTTCAATATATCTGCACTCTTCTAGCTTGGCTACTGTATTTAAACTAAAGGTAGGTTTAATTTAATATGCATACAAAATTGGTCTGGATATTTAAAAGAATTATAAATATGACCAGTTTTTTGGTTAAAAAAGAATGATTCTACAGGCTGTTCAAAACAAATAAGTAGCAAGAGGTTATTCTTAGGGTCAAAAAAAGTCGCGTAGTCAAAAATTAGAAAAAAGATCTCTTATACTTTGGACTTGATTCTCTGTCTATATATCAAACGCGTCTATATATAAACAAAACGCGTGGAGATACCAAATATTTAGGATAAATGATATCAATTTTTTGCCTCCAGTCCCCTACGTCTAAAAATTAAATAAACTGTAATATTAATATTTACCTTTCCCAATCTGAACAACATTACAGCATTTTTATAGGCCGTTAAGTCCAATCTCATAAACCTTGGAAGCACAAGTTGAAACAAACAGGTGTATGATGGAAAATTCTCTGCTATAAATTGAGTAAAACTAGCATCCAGACAATTACAATTTGCCTCTTCTCGTTGGTTAGTAGCGACTGGAGATCTAAAAGGCAGTAGGTAAATTATTTAAAAAAATATATTAAAACATTTTAATTATATTCTCATACGTAGTAACGCCAAAACTTCTGTGTGCAATATTCAGTTTTATTTTTATGTATTAACGTTTATCTTTTATTCAGATTTTAAAGCCAACTGAGCTTAAGGTGATTTAAGAGAAAAGAGTTCTATAGTCCATGCGCTTTAAGACAGCCTCGCCCCCTGACCTCACTATTTTCTTAACGCGAATGGACTACTATAGTTCTATGTTGCTATTATATTTATAAAAGGTCTAGCAGGACAAGGTAGGGTCAAATATATAATTTAGCTTACTATGTCTAGTATTAGTACTAAAAAGTGCATAAATAAAAAATGGTAGCAACATTTCAAGAACAAAATTCAAACTTATGGCCGTCTTAGGTACTAATGAATTTATATTTGTCTTTTGATTAAACATTTTCATTACTGTATTAAAAAGCAAAAACATGTTTATTACTAACGTATAAGTTTGTGAACGCTCTAAATCACAATTATCAGTCACGTTAGAAAAGAATGAAATTATATTATTAAAGTATGATTTATCTTCATTGCTGTCCTCATTAATAACTGCGTGATTTTTTTCTGATGTAAATATATCCGATAAAGCTTGTGCTGGACGAAATACACGGGAGAGATATCGGGCATTAGACAAGTAATTAACAACTGCGGCTATATGAAAACAACATCCCACTGTTCTTAGACCATTAGGACAGTTGAATCAATATCGGCATATGCTTCCTTTGGGATGTCTTTAATAAGTTTTACGGTTCACATGTCTTGATCTAACTTTTAGTTTCAATATGTTTTTATAACTGTACTGTGAGGTTACATTCTTCGTCCATCATCTCCGCTAAATAAGACACAGCCTGTGATGTGTAGGAGCCTGCGAAAAACATAGCAAGTTGTTCTTTATTTAACTGAATAAAATCAAGAATTTCAGACCATTTAAGTTGAAGAAAAGCGGACTTTCGGCGATTTCATTTATTTTCAATGACTTCCTCTAAGAGTATTTAAAACACTCATTCTACTCTCCATGTACTCAAGCACCTCATCATTTTTATCGCCATCCGAATTCAGTCTTTGGCCGTACTTGTTTTGTAGAAATCCAACTATTTTACAAAGCACTTTCAACTTCAGTAGAAACTTATTATCTAATGAATTGTTTAGGAGGCCATATTTTTGGGCACCATGAACTGCTTCTACAACCCATTTCAATTTTGTAACTCTTCTTGATTCATTAGCCTCTCTTCCGTTGTTAGTTGTGTCCTGTTTCCTTTCAAAGCAGGCCCACTGCATAGCCTTTACTTTGTATTAAATCAACTGAATTGCGAAAACCACGATCTACCATAAAAATATCGTTTGGTGATAGTAATGTCTTGGAAAATAAGTTTCAGTATTGATGCGTTATTTTAAGTGCCGTAAAAAGGTCCTGCAAAGACTATAATATCGCTATTTATAATTCAGATTGTGAAAGGTTTGCAAAGATTCATTTTTTTCTGCCCAGCGAAACATTTTTTTTGATAAAAATTATTTTCACTTTTAGGATGTCGTACATAAGTACCATCGCAGATAATAACAAGTTGATTATCAGATAGATTGAATAACTTCTTGGCTGTACTGGAGGTATAAGAAATAAAACCTTGACTTGTAATAACATTATAACTAAAGTATTTTGGTAAAATATATCTCAAAACCTCTCACGTCTCTTCAAAAAATTCTGGTAGGTATTGTTCATTTTTTTCCTATCCGCAATTTGAAAAGGAAAATAATTAAGGCTCGCGTCACGGTCCTAGTTGTTTTATTTCTCATTGAATGTCTTATGTCTCATCATATGTCTGAGCTCGATGATGTTTACCAAAGTAAGGCCTTTTTTTTCTGTGCGGAAATGCCCTCGGGTACCACCCACCGGTAGTTATGTCGGACTCGAACCGACCAAAAACCGAACGAGAGAATTCCCACTCCGATGGCCGCCACGAGGCAACGCCTCTGCTCCACCCTCGCCGGGCATTCTGCCAGCGTGTGGAGCGCTGTGTCCACGGGTCCGGCCATCGCATTGGAGGTACTTAGGCGTTGGCTCCTTGCGGATCAGACACAGGTGATCTCCGAAGCATCTTTTCCCGGTCCCTATTTATAGAAACTTGACGGCATTTTTTGTACATTTTAGTAGCATTTTCAGTTTTCATAATTTTTCTCTTTCATTAGTGCAGCTGTAATAACTTTCGAAAAAAATGATTTCAAAAAATATCCGCTATAGCGTCTTTTTGATCAATTATCTTCAGAACGCAGAGAGATGAGAGGCTGAATTTCTGTTAATGGTAGTTTTACACCTCGCCGATGTTGAGTAATGAGTTATTTTCAAAATATCTTTCTGGGGCCGCTGACCCTACCTTATCCTGCTAGACCCTTTTGTCGAGATATTTAAAAGAATAACGCTGTCTTTTTTCATTAATAATACCTCTACTACGGGCTGTATAAGGGCGAAATAAGCCTACAGGCTTTTTACTTTTATTTTTTATTTAAAATAATTTAATTGACGAATAGAATATAATTTGTCCAATCCTACATCTTGTATAACTTTTTATATCACAAATAATCTTTAATTCGTCAGATTGTATTTAAAAGAAAATCTTGTGTTTCATACCTGTCTTGTGAAATAGTGTTGTTAACATATCTCCAAGGTTGTATGAAGCTCAACCACAATTCCATAACGAGCCTGAACGAGGCGTCTAGTGGCCATGTTGTAACCAAATGTTTGATATAATGATACGCACGAACACACATAATTTGTCTTGCGTATTTTCGGAGGGCCGAAGACCGCACAGCAGGATCTGACAAATGTTTAGAAGAGAAGGAGTGTAAATGTTTGACTAGCACGCGAACTGTTCTGACACGTTCTGGACTTGAACATACAACTTGGCAATTGCGTTGATATAGCTGCAAATAAAATAAAAAAACTTAACATTAATTCAGTACTTTATTTGATCACTAATCTCTGCAGGTTTGTTACGCAACAATAATATTGATAATGTGACCCAACTTACTTATAGTACAAGCTCTTGTTAATAATACAATTAGTACATTTATACGTTGAAGGTCAGACTTAAATAGAGTTATATTTGAAAACATCATTGCAGGGATTTAGAAGTAGGTAGGTAGCCTCTCCTTTGATTCAAGATTGAGGAACTGTTCCTCTAAGCTCAAAATTCCATTAGTAACATAGAGTGCAGTGATTTGTGGCAGCTTGAGCAGTTTTGGCATTCTTTAAAAGTATAAATCAATTAATTGTACTACTTTTTTATACATATTTTTCACTTTCTTTTCCCTTTTCTCAATCATAAGTGAATTGTATGGACAAAAATATTTTATTTACCTCCATATTCCTAGAATTAAATTGTTCCACACTCATCCATATATCAATAAAGATTTGGAGAACTGTTTCTGAACGCCATACTTCATTGCGTGATTGGTTCTGTGTAGTGTGTGAATGTTGATTATTCATGCTAGTACCCGATAAATCAGGTATTAACAGAAGTGACGGAGAATACAAAGGCCTGAAACATTAGGTACATTGTATGTCACTCATATAAAATTTAGAATTTAGATATGACTAATAATTATTTATGTGTATAAAATTATAAAATAATGGTTTCGTACATCACAAATTATTTAGTATTATCCAACAGTTTTGGATATGTCAGTTTGGCTGGTCATCATAACCATCATCCAGTACATATAAGACAACAATAGAATATATTAAATAATAAAATATGGAATAGCATAAGAACATACCTATTAGCTGTCTGGAGTGGAGCAGCCATGGGTACTTTGCCCGTGTAATTTGGTATTGGTGGTAGCACAGTTGCATTTGGATCTGAAGGTAGGAAGTGCATGAGATAATCACATGCTAGTGTAAAGTAAACACTGTTCCAGTTCTCCCAAGTGGTTTTGTTCTGATTGTTGTTCACCAGATGAAGTGCAAAATTCAGAATGTAATAGTCAAATGGATCTGATTAGCGTGATATATGGAAATATTATATCTTCATTACAAACAAACAAATTCACTTACTAAGAAAGGGCTTAAGTTTAATTTCAAGGTATAACTTATCTATAATTTGTTAAAATTACAAACAATGATATTTATATAACACTAGTGATCCGCCCTAGCTTTGCACGGATGCAATATAGACACTACTTTTGTTTGTTGTGTTGTGTGTTTGTAGTACCATAGTACTGGCCGCATCCCTGCACACGACCTACAAATTATGCCCAATCTATTGCTTAATGTTTTGATCAACACACAACACAACAAACAAAAGTAGTGTCTATATTGCACCCGTGCAAAGCTAGGGCGGATCACTAGGGTATGCCCTATTCTTCTCTAATGTGCTCTTCTTTAGTCGACATATTTTCAGACAGTTGCCCATAGGCGGTTGGGCCAATATAATTAATATTCTGTTCCTGTATGCCTTAGCGTGTCATATTATTTCCTCTCTGATTGTAGGCATTTTCAGATCATTGTGCAGTTGTTCGTTAGTCACAAATCATGGGACACCAGTACAGGGCACCAGCAGTATGCATAGCACTTTGTTTTGAAAAAGTTGAGTGATCTCTAAGTTGGAGTGTGAGGCTGTTCCCCATAGTTGTATGCCGTACGTTCACACAGATTTGAGGATGGCTTTGTATAGTAGAAGTTTGTTTTCCATTGACAACAGAGAATAAATATTGTATTCTAATTGTCCAAAAGTAGTGATCTGCAGGACAGGCATGCCTATGCCTATATAAGACACTAGCTCCTCACACATATACAGAAATGTATGTAACCACTACCCTTAATATTATTGTACCATAAAGTTAAAATGTTGTGAGGAGAAAAAAACTTTATTATTTTAATATATATTACTATAATCAGATACCACGATGGATGATGCTTGTAGATATTCCTTTGAGTAGGGTAAGGAGTCATAGTACTTGATATTTGCCTTTATCAGGATTGCAGCACCACCATGGGCTTTGCCATCTGGATGCAGTGTAGTACAGCGAGTACCCTTGTATTTTGAAATAGCTTTTGCTGATGAAGTGTGTTTCAGAAATTAGCATTACATCAATTTTTAAGAATAATTTTAACTCCTCTGAGTGATTTGACAGGCCATTAGCATTCCACACACATATATTTAGTGGTTGGAATGTAAAGCCAATGTTTATGTGAGTTCTGGTAGCAATTTTGTGACTATTAACATTTGATTCATAACAGCTTGCAGTGTTTCATTTAGCTTTAGCAGGAAAGATTCCGTTGTTTGTGTGTCTGAGATGTATTTTGTTGGTAAGTTGTTTTGTACTGTTATATGCAGGTCCAGTTGGCCAGGTTATTTTTGACTGTGCTGGTGACTTTAAGGGTTTTTTATTGGTGGGGCTGGGTATTTCATTTTCTGTAGCTCCTTGTAGACTTTACAACCTTTGTAATTCGCGAGATGTTTACCGTCGCAGAGGATGCACTTGACCTTATCTGAACGTTCCTTTCTGTCACAGTTGGATGTACGATGAGAACCAGCACTTTGGTTATCTATTTCAGAATTTTTTGGTGTGTTCATATTGCTGACAATTAGAGTATTGTTTAATGTCTCGTTTGGGTCTAGGAGCCTCAAAGGTACCTCTACAATTGAGTATGCTGTTCAATTTGTAAATATCCTTATTATTAGCCTGCGGTTTTAGGTCTATAAACAACATGCTGGGCGGCTTAGTCGTTTGTCCATGTTTGATGTTCTTTACTTCAGGCTCAAGATCTTCGAGTGCCAATTTGGTTTCTTCGAAATCAATACAAGGATGTATATGTTGTAGGAATACTGTGTTCCTTTTTTCAACTTTTTGTACATAGTTTTGTATGACTGCAGTGTTCACCTGAATTTGAACTCACTCAGACTGAAGTACTTTAATTTCAACATTTCCTGGTATTGTAATTTCAAGCATATTAATTAATAGCTGGATATTCCTGACTTTATCAACAAATATTGGCAGAGGCTTATGAGGCTTCTCTACTCCCTCAGAGCTTTCTTCTTCAAGGCCAGTAAATCTGTTAGAAGTTGAAACAGTTCTAATAAGCCAGTAGCTATTAAGTTTCATTTATTTGTAGCTTATCAAGAATTGTTCTGGGCTGCACTCTTTTTCCTCCTTCGACCTATTCCCAGGGCTCCGTAGTGGTATTGCAATAATATTTATATAGAAGTAGCGATCCGCCCTGGCTTCGCATGGGTGGAATGTAGATGCTAATAACACTACTAATGTGTAGTCAGTGTGGAGTAATAAATTATACTATTATTATGATAAGACTATACCACAGGAAATCTCAATATGTAATCTTTATATGCCCGCTTCGCTCCCGCCGGCTGCTGCAACCCAGGACGGACGTATTTTAAATCTCTGATATCTACTGAGATATTCATTTTAATGATATTTTGTAAAAGGCAATTTTCATCTACATTAAATGCACAATGTATCTAACGTATTTCTTTGGATAAGGTATAACACTGTATTGTTCATAACATAATAGCTTCCTAAATTACCCATAATTCTTTGTTATACTTATGTAAAAGATAAAAATGATCACTGTGGGTTATCTTTAGGAAATAGACATATACCCTAGATCTTTTTAAGATATACAATTCTGTAGTGTATAATTTTGATCTATCTCGAAAGGTTTATTCAGGATTTGCAATGTAAGTGCACAAAAATACGTTTTTTAAGAATTTACATAAGAAATCTTTGAAATTCTCAGATTGCCTGTAATATAGATTTATATGCATTCATATTGGCATGTATTATACATATAAACCTGCCTCTTGAATCACTATCTATTGGTGAAAACCACATTAAAATCCGTTGTGTAGTTAGAAAGCTCTAAGTGTACAAGAAAAAAGACTTCATTTTATACCATGTACAGATAATAAAAACCTAAATAAAAAATTTTGCTTCACAACCAGATTAAGGAATTTTTAAATTATTTTCTATAAAAAGGATACTGAGAGCCAAAGCAACCACATTAAGTGATTGTGAGTCTGTTGTTAACATGTCTGCATAAAACTGTGGACATCTGCCTCTCTCTAAAGTCATTTGCAAGTCAAGCTGTAAAAACAAAATTTAATTAGTTTCAGTTTTAATATAAGCAGCATAGATTCCTTGAATCCAAGTCAATGATTTTATTTTGTTAGTAAAAGAGAGATGTGCATACTTACAGGCAATAAATTCAAGGGTAAATTATATTTAAGCTGTGGATCTGATAAAAGCTTATAGCACAATTGAAACATGGGACCCATAGGCTCAAAAAAACTGATTAATGCATCAAAATCATATTTGTTCACTTCATTAGTAACAGTTCTCAATCCCCAGCCATTCTGGAACGTAGGGGAGAAGATACTACTTATTAATTGAGGAAATAATGCTTGAAGATCTTTATTAGGACTTGATTGTTCAATGATTCTGCTCAATACTAATAATTTATCTTGTAGTGGTAGATTAAGGGACGTGTAAAATTGACTCTGAAACAAAAAAGAAATGTTAAGTAAATATTACAAAAAATGTAAACAAAACATGAGAAAATATGGTTAGTACCATGATATCGTGAGCCATTTTGACATATATTATAGTCTATAAGTAACTTCCTCGGATTCCTTTTTAAAAGAATATCTGGTAAAGTTTAAAATTGTGTTATAATACTTCAATATTTTCAATTTGGTAAAATAACTTTAGCTAGTATAACATAACAGCAGGCGGCTACTTCATTTGTCGATTTCGGTTCACAGTTCACACTTCAAAGTTTGACACTAGACTGTTGCCAACAGTTAAATTAACTCTGCATCAGATTCAACATTAAAAACTACCAGAAAACCCCTAACGAAAAACGACCCTACTCTAATAGTCGCTTTTCTACAAAACAGTTTTTTTAGTTTTTACAAAAGAAAACAATAAGTTTATCAAAAATTAGTTTCCTCTATTACTACGTAACTCTAATACTAACAATCTATAGATCAACAAGTTAAGATCAGAACAAAAAAAAATCTTTCTTTTTTTTTGATATAAGAGGGCAAAAGAGCAATCGGGTCACCTGATAGTAAGTAACTAACTAAGTAACTACTGCCGCCCATAAACACTTGCAACTCAAGAGTCACAATTGCGATGATGCCCTAGAGTCAGGAGGGAGAGTTTGAGCTCCGGTATCCTTACTCAGACGGTAAAAAGCAACCAACGTATTCCTTAGCGCTGGTATTCTGTGGAGCCATGCTATCACTGTGGTCAAGCCAGCCCATTCGTGCCCAAACATGGCTTTCCCATGGTGAGACATTCAATAACATCATTTACTTATCTTCTATACCTCTTCTATCTATACTCTATACAAAAAAATAAAGTGACTGTTTGTAATGTTTGTGGCGTCCGTGCCATCGCGACCTATGAAACGTAAATACGCGAACAAACTACTATAACTACTGTGCGAAGGGTATACCATAAGAGTAAGAAACTTGTTTGAAAAGAAACAGTAAAGCCCTGACTGTTGAATTAGACTTTCTGTTGAGAAACAATATATGACGTTGATCAAGAGTCTTCCATACAACAACGCTGTCACACTTGTTCGTTGTCACATGTGGCTTCAACGGTAATGGTCAACGGCGCGAGCGCGTCTGCACGCCACGCTTGCGCAGCAAATCTTCGGACGCGTCGGAGACGTGGCGTCACTTTGGATGACGATCAATCTGATTCACTCATCTGATTCAATCCATTATATTATTTTAATAAATTACTACCTGTTTAGATTTCTTAGCATAAAAACTTATCATAGACTGCATAGCAATAACAGAAAAAAAATTGCGATACTTTTAATAAATATTGTTCCACCATTGGAGTTATTTTGGCAGAACTAATATCAAAGAAATTTCATAAAATATGTAACCAAACACTCGAAACCACATACAGAAAATGACCCAGAATTAACTATATTGAAGCCATGTAATGCAGACGAAATTAATAAAATTATTAACTCACTCGACTCGAAGATTTGGTGTCCATTCCATCTAACCCGGCATTCAGTGCCGGGTTAGATGGAATGGACACCAAATCTATTAAATGCTTACAAAACTTAAAACCAATGACCTGGAAAGCTGCTATAATTAACTCATTATAAATGGGAATTTCCAGACAGACTAAAGACTGCAAAAGTTACTCCTATATATAAAACAGGTCCAAAAACTGGCCCAGGTAACTATCGCCCAATCTCCGCTCTGCTAGTACTTTCTAAAATTCTTGAAAAAATCGTACATACGAGATTAGATTCATATTTAGAGTCTTTCAACTTCATTTCTGACCGATAAAATGGATTTCGAGCTAAAAGTAATACCACTACGGCAACAATAGATCTTGTGAGCAAGATTAGAGATAACATAGACCGAAAAAATGTAGTCATAGGAGTTTTTATCAACCTGAAAAAAGCCTTTGAGCCATCAATTATTCTACACAAACTAGAAAACATTGGTATCAAAAGTAATGCCCTAAAAATATCTAATCGTACCTAAGCAATAGACTGCAGGTTGTTAAAATAGCAAACACCGTAAGTAATGAATCGCCCAGTACAATACTCGGTCCACTTTTGTTTACAATATATGTAAATGACATAAAAGACCTAAGACTTCACGGACATCTAACCTTATACGCCGACGATACATGTCTTTTTTTATTTTGGATCCACTGTGCAAGATGTCATTCCACTAGCGCAGGAGGATCTGAACTCCTTATAAAATTGGTTTCATTACAACTTACGTCCTCGTCGTTCTTCCAATCTCGAATTCCCTTGGGCATATTTGAAGTGTAATACTTTCATTATGTGAAATTTCCTTAACACGTCATGCATTAATAGACAACAACGGACCGAATTTCGAATGACCATTGGTTTGAATGCTATCAATCTTCATTTCTCTTCTGCCAATTATCAAACCAAAAGTTGGACCCTAAGCTATAGTGCTAGTCCGCTCATACTCAGCTCATTGCTACTAAACCACTGGAATTATCGACTAGCCAATAAACTCAATATTTCACCATTAACAGGGGGGTCAAAACCACCAGTTTTAGTGGAATATCCACTAGGTTGGCAACATTGCACTAGAGCTGTACACAGTGTAACTATCAAAATAAAGTATGAAATACAGCGTGTCACTCATGTTTTCACGAAGCTGTAAACAACATATTCGGCACATTATTTCTAGACGATTTGCAAAATATGAACAAAAAATATTCAGTGGTTTTGAAACAGGACATTTTTTTTTGTTTACGTAATTTGCATCATCATGTGTACATGCAGTCATAATACATTGCCCTCAGGCGGCGATCAGCTGTATACGCGGCGTGGTAATCACACGTTGCCGCTTTTAATACACTCGAATCGAACGAAATATGTTGATTTTTGAGTCATCACGATGAAGGACACTCGTTTTTAATTAGTTCATCCAGTAAGGACAGTCAGTCGGCCCTTGGCCACCGGCGAGTGTTATGCTATTCTGAATCCTTGTAGATGCGCTCACGACAAATAACCGTAATAATAACATTGTTGTTGTTCATGAGAGACAGATTTGTTTAGAAAAGTTTTCTTGTGGTAATAATTGTTTAGTGTTATTGCTTTCGTCATAATACACGGCAATGGTGTAAACAATAGGGAATATGCACGTGACACCAAAATGGACAAAATATTTTTATTTGTAATATTTATTGCTAAAAAAAGATACCCATACAATTATTTTTGAAATTTCTTATAATTTAATAGTGAAATTTAATCATCAATAATTGGCTTTTTTAAGATTCCCTCGCAAATTTCTAAAACGCAACGCTATTGGTTGAATAAAACGTGACGTCAACCTACACTGTCAAGAGTGTCAACAAGTTGTGTGTATTTGTAAATATTTGGTTTCTGGTGATTATTTGTTTCATTTTAAGTTAATAACTAATACGTTTTCAGTGTTAAATTATTAAATTCCCGTGTAGAAAGACTCAACACAATGACTGAATATACTTTGTCAGGTGCAGTTTTGATATTATTTGGGCACAAAGGAACGGCACAATATTTATAATATGTTTTTATTGGCTTTCCATGGTAATAAGTTAATGTCTATTACTCACTTTTTTAACTTTCAGAAACTTTGTGAACTTCACTCCGTTGTTGACATCGAATTCGTCTGAAACTGTAATCTGACATCACAAAAAAAGCGCGCCAAAATGGACGTGTTCAAATTGCACCAAAATGATAGTGATTTTAATAAATTTTTTTTTGCTTAACGGTTTATATTTCGGATGTGTTATATTTATATTTGGTAATGTAATAACTAGTAGAATCGTTAAAAAAAATTAAAAAAAATACATGCATATTCCCTATTAATGTTATCGTGTGCGCAAGACTTCGTAATGTAACGAGTCCTGCTAATTTTATTTTGAAAAGTGACAATATTAGGTTCTGTGTGTAGTGTAGTGTGAAACTGGGTGAATTATCAGTCTTATAATTTTATTGGGTTATCGGTATCAACATCCATAATGCCGTGAGTGACCTTCACAGCCGCGGAATATCCTGCCATGATGTTAATTTTTGAGAAACTCTATCAAAACGCATCTTTTGCTTTACGGATAGGCATGGAGTCAATCGTGTATGTCCTACAGACTGCCGAATTTTCGTAAGGGCGGTACAAAGATTACGAGACAACCAAATTACCTACTTTTTCAAGGAGTGACACGTACTGCCGGGTCCGAAACTAGTCGAGCATTCCCAAAATAAACACGTGAATAAAATCGTATTCTTAATAAATAGATTTAAAAAAGCAAGTGAAGTGATTAGTAGGTAGGTAATAAGAATGTAAAGTTCGCCGGCTCGTCGCGGTAGCGGCGGCGTCGCTTTGATGTCGCCGATATTGCGACGCTGCCGTGTACAGTTCTTATTCGGCAATTATTTTATTGTATTTATTTTGTTCTAAATTTGCATTTCTGTATTTTCGTACTTTTTTTTTTAACCGTGTTATCTGTTGTTCATTGATAACTAACCCAGACATCATACTGTAAAATAGATTTCATTACAATTTGCTCTTTATTATGAAATATAAAAAGAAATATAAACTAAATCTGATATGGAGGCCTGGTGAAATTCAGGCTGATGCCTAGCTTAGGCACCAGTCTCCCACAATCAAGTGACATGTAAAACTCTAATTTATTCTGAAAATGATGTGAGAAAATAAAAGAATTAATTTTATTATTAATGAACCCTAAATTAGTTCTTTGTCTAAAATAATATTCTAAGTAGTCCAACACTTCTGTTTATGGGACTGTCAAAATTAAAATTATCAAAAGATACTAAACACACAATTCTTCTTTAGGGATACGCAAAATTTCAAAATTATCGATTCCAGTTTCGTATCAATCAAATTCCAAAAAAAGTATCGGATCAAAAGTATAGTACCTGAAGGTATTGAGATTTTTTTAATACATTTATAAAAAAACCTGAATGCAGTGTTGTTTGTGTTGCTAAGTTTAGCCAAAAATAAATCATTCTCCGTTCCTACTTGTTTTCAGTATTTTGAAACAAGTTTTACACGAAGCTGTATCTTATTTTTTTAATACTTCTACATTTTGCTAATTTCTCCTGGCGGCAGCATCTTCTTGTGAGCGATTTAACTTTAAATGCAAGCACGAGTAATATATTATACGTTTTTATTTCTAGTACGACGAGACGAAAGCGAAAAAATAATTTTGTAGTTTGGTGACTTAGTCTTGCTTCCTATTTATTTCAGGCATAAGTCAGAGAAGTACTTTCCTATAACTAAGGAACTGAAAGATCCTGTGCCAATAGTGCAATAATACATTAACCTTTAAGGGCTGCAACTTTTTTGAAATAGTTTAAAAGACAAAAACACTACACAGATTATTTAATCCGTAAAGCTCCATCTATCCCATGTCGTATTACAGCCGGATGAGCGCATCAGCTGACTGATGCGAAAAAAAGTTTCACTTACATCATGGTTTCATAAAACCAAAGCTATTAATTTTCAGAAAGTATCAATGCCTCAAAAGAATCGATTTCAAATGTACTTGGAATCGAAACAAAAGTACCTCAGGGTATCGATACTTTTTGCGTATCCTACTCTTCATTACTCAATATTTATCCCGTCACCCATGTGCTGTAGTGTAAGTGTAGATTAAGAAGTGTTTGTTTTGAATATTCTATTTATATTTTAGTTCACGGCATAAAATTGGAAGAAAAACTCAAAGAGAGAGCTACTCCTAGTTGCATAGTGTATGTTGTTAAGTTTGTATGAGGCAAATAAATTTGTTTTCTTGAAGATCTTGGTTAATCATGTCCAGTCATGAGTGGTTCGACTCCATCGGACGGCCACAGTTTGTGGTTGCTCCTATGGTTGATGCCAGTGAGTTGGCATGGCGGCTACTCTGTCGTAGACATGGTGCAACCTTATGTTATACGCCTATGTTTCACAGTAATGTTTTCACTAAAGATCCAAAGTACAGAAAAGATAGTATGGTGACGTGCAAAGAAGATCGGCCGCTGATTGTTCAGGTCAGATTTTTTTTTACACATACATACTTTTCATTATTTATAACACAATTTCTTAGACAATGTTTATCTTACAGTTTTGTGGTAATAATCCAGAAACAATGGCAGCTGCTGCTAAACTTGTAGAATCACATTGTGATGCTATAGATATAAATCTCGGATGCCCTCAATCAATTGCTAAAAGAGGAAGATATGGCTCATTTCTGCAAGATGAATGGGACTTGCTAAAACAAATTAGTAAGTTTAATTTTTAAATTAGTAAGTTAGCAGGCTTGCATGGATTTGGGAAAGCTGCTGTTTAATTGTAGAGTTACAACATCGACAGACTACACCCCATCTTCTATCATCTTATTGTATACAGCACAAGCCTTAGCTTAGCCTTAGCCAGCAATTTATTAATTTATTTATTACTGGCTATTACTAATTAAAGACCAAATATCTCTCAAGAGGCATTATCAACATCATCATCTCAGCTGAAAGACATCCACCGCTGGACATAGGCCTCCCCCATGGCTCTCCACAACAACCATTTCTGTGCTGCCCGCATCCAACAGGCATCATCACGTATTATTTTTTGCACCAGCAAAACAATTACCATATTAAACAATTACCAAATGTTTTTTAATCCATGTGGTGGTGGATTAAGAATACATAGTGTCTTCACTTCTATTCATCCTGTGAGTGTTGTAAGAGCCAACTAAGGGAACCAACTATGCAGGACAACAGGACTGCCTGTCTGGCCAGCATGGTATAGTGGTATACCTCCTTTTGAGGGAGTGGCCTATGTCCAGCAGTGGTCTGTTATCATGATTGTTTTTTTTTCATTTAGCTGTGAACCCCTTCACAATCAGGACCAAGACCAGTGCTGAATGTATAGCAAAGATTTGTTGTAGTCACCAGGAACACTAAAACTTTAACTTTTCAGTTGGTGCTATGTCTGCAGCAGTCTCAATTCCAATAACATGTAAAGTAAGAATTTTTGAAGATATCAATAAATCTGTTGAATATGCGTTAATGTTACAAGAAGCAGGGTGTAAATTACTTACAGTTCATGGAAGGACAAGGGAACAAAAGGGTCCTTTAACTGGCATTGCAAGTTGGAGACACATAAAGGCAGTTAGGTGAGTTATTTATAATTTTGCTGAAAGTTGTATTTTGAGAAGAAAATCAGAATGGAACATCCTTGGTATCCTACAAAAGCAATCTTTAATCAGTTCATTTCATATAGTATTATTCTAATAACCTATTTATGAACAGGGAAGCAATATCAATACCCATGTTTGCCAATGGGAACATTCAGTGTTTGGAAGATGTGTATAGGTGCTTAAATAATACTGGAGTAGATGGAATAATGAGTGCAGAAGGTATTCTCACAAACCCAGCCCTTTTTCAAGGTATTAACCCAGTCACATGGGAAATGGCAGAAGAGTACCTTGATTTGGTAGAGAAATATCCATGCCCATCTTCTTACATCAGAGGCCATTTATTTAAAATATTCCACAAAATGTAAGTACAAGACAATTTTATTAATCTAATCTAATCTTGTACAGTTCAGTAGTGTTGACCCAAAGACAAATATTTGTCAGAAATGTTGAAATTCTTTAAAATTTGAAAAAGCAAGTATACTAAAGAATCTTACTTATCTATTTTTTTTTAGATTTTCTTTACAAGAAAACAATGAAGACAGACAACTCTTGGCTACAGGGCAAAACTTAAATGACTTTAGAAGAGTGTGTATCAATGTCAAAGATAAATATCTACCCTATCATGAAGGACAATTATTTTTTGATGATGATGAAAACATTTGTAGACATGGTTACAACTTGATACTGCCACCTTGGATATGTCAACCATATGTAAGAATGTCTCCTGAAGAACATACTCAGAAAATGGAAAAAAAGCTACACAGTAACGAGGTAAAATATAGCTAAAAAAATATTAATTCAAATGTTCTTCTCTTTTTTTGCATACTTACATGAATAATAGCAGCAGATGAAGTCTTACCGACTAAGGTTTTTTAATTTACAAAAGGGAAAAATGCTGTAATAAAGCATTAACATATTGGAAAGCATTGAATGTTTATGGCAATAGTAACTGTTCATAGTTGAGACTAGCTGGTATCCTTGACTTCATTCACATGGTATTTTGAAAGCTCTGCCTTAGTGTTTTCGATTAACGGACCGGGCAAAATTTGGGGTTTTTCTGAGAGTAAAAATAGCCTAAGTTACTTCTTATGTAGACAGCTACCTGGTAGTATAATATTATCAAAATCGGTCCAGCCGTTTTGAAGATTACCCGGAACAAACAGACAGCCAGACAAAAAAACTTGGTTTGGTAAACTGGTTTTTAGGCATAGGTATCGTGCAAATAACCGCGTGCAAATGACCGAATGATGAATGATGAATTATTTAATAAATATATATGACTGCCTCGGTGGTGCAGTAGGTAGCGTACGCGACTGCTGTGCTGAGGTCTCGGGTTCGATTCCCGGTTCTGACCAAATGTATGTTAGGCAAGTATTTACTAAAAAAAAATGTATATAAGTATTCTATCAGTCAATCTAGCTTTCATAGTACAAGCTCTGCTTAGTTTGAAACTAGATGGCGTTGTGTTAGATTGTTCGAAATATTTATTTTATATTTATTTGTATAGATGTAAAATTAAAATACGACATTTCTTTGTTGTAAATTTCTTAATTGTGGCCACCCTCACTAGGACAGTGCTGTTGAAGCAAAAAGAAAATTTGAAGATACTGATGGAAATGCTATCTCTCGAAAAAAAATGAAAAAGCTAATAAGAATTATGAGAAGACCAGAGAAACAAGATAATGGTGGCAGAAGTGGTGAATATTGCGTTAGGGAAAAATGCCCCAACCCATTGGTAAGTATAATTTTTTTTTATGTCCACAAAGTGTGCTAATCTGTCAATCTTACAGTGATACAAGCCCAGAACAAAACGTAAAGCAATTTTTTAGCTGTATAATCACCAATGGTAGTCTCCTTTCCCCTTAAATGAGTATTATGTTTGTTTATCTGAATGTCTGTATACCCAAATGTCACTTGTATCTAAATAAATGGAAAGTCTAGTCCGACCTCCACAAAAGTCTCTCAATATATACCTATTCTATTCTACCCACCTATGCTGCTGTACTTTACTGTTGTATGAGTAGCTTTGTATCAAGGTCCTGCTTTCCTTAAGGTCTGCACGACCTTGTTACCCAGTGAAAGCAGTGCATCAAAAAAAATCTTTAATATTGTTTCAGGGTAAAAAGTGTGTCTATCAGCTTTGTAAGAAATGTTGCAAAGATAAATGTTACGAAGAAAACCTAGACTGCACAGGTCATAGAATACTAGTACACACTAAACGTAAAATTGCCAGGGAGTTTTCAAAAGAACTTGTTAGGAAAACAGAATTAACAGCAAATTAAGTGTTATAAAACTGTACAATTTTTATGTATATACTTGATGAGTAATTTAATTGTAAATATAATATTAATATTTTGTAAATCTATTTATATTTACTTGAAGAAGTAATAATATAATAATAATATTGAAATTTGTTTATTTAATTACGCTAATTTCAGGTTGTCTGTCTGATTTTTCGGGCAATTATGTTTGCACCACAGTACCGCTTGATCAAAATCTTCAAGAAAAAACACTGTTTTTTTTTTGCAGTGGTAACCCACAAAACAATCACGATCATATAAATTAATGTGTTATCGTCAACAATCCTTACAAATAATCAAATCCTTAAAGCTTGTCGACAGTGATCCATATTTGTCCTAGACATGCTACTAATAACAAAAATCCATACTATTTCTCTCAATTGAACAATAGTGCATATAGATGTATGAAAGTGCCTTTTAAACCCCAGCTGTACTTTACATTTATGGGCCGTGCAGTGCATTCACTTAGTATGGATACCGCTTGGTTTACCAAAGTTTTCACGAGACGAGATGTATTTTTATCGTTCGAAAGCTAGTTTGAGGCAAGCGAGGATCAATAAATCGGTTGTCTCTTTAGGTAGCCATTTACGATTGGCGGCATATAAAAAATTCTCCTTATTCCTTAACGTGGTTTTAAGAAAAGGAGTGAAGGAACTGCTAAATTCGCCAAGGGTATGACGAATTCGCAATCCGTCTCCGTCTTATACACGCACATTGTATAATATGTAAAACGCAAATGTTATGAACGGCTATCTCCTTGGTAACCTATTTCATTATCGAGTTCATAACGCAGTATTGGTATTAATATCGTCCGTGACCTATAAAGTATTATATTTTAGTGAGTGCGTCGTTAACCGAAATATTATTCTGTGTATTGTCCTACAGGGTTGACGTAATGTATATCTAAATAATAATAATGAGTGTCAATAAAAGGGAATGTCATTTGGGTAAATCATTACGAAATGTAACTTAAGATGCGCGCGCATACAGTCAAATGAAAACAGTCTTAGTTAGTAGTAGTTTACGGATGTATCTGTTTGTTGTGCTGTATCCGTTAAACAATGAAAGATGTTTTCATTGAAATTCGTTTCATTCGTCATCGAAAATTAATTTTAAAGTTTCTACAAAAAAGTACACCCAAAATTATTAATTGCTAAATATTTAAATCATAGCAAAGCCGATGGATAAATGTTGTGCTTCACATTCATTTCCAAGGCCTCAAAGGAGATTAAACGGTCTGCAACTACCTCTAAATTACCAACAAGTTATTGGTTGGTTGGTATTTATAGCGACTGGCTCCTTAAATTTCGCTATACTGATAGAAATACAGTTTGCTGAATTGAAGACGATCTCATTAGTTATCTTCGTTGTTTTATACGTGTGTCATATCGCATCACACCTGACAGCGTCGCTAATCGACCCCAGTGAAAAGGAATTACGGAGGCTCAAGGTTTACAATGTGCCAGAGTTCGATCGTGACGTTCACGCCCATGTTATTGAAAATGGAAGGTGTCACCTGTGTAACATACACACCAGCAGCAGAAAAACAAAACATTGCAGTATCTGCAACAAATGTGTGGACCATTTTGATCACCATTGCAAGTGGCTTAATAACTGTATTGGTGGACGCAATTACATACCATTTATTGCTTGCGTTGCTACCGCCCTGATGATATCAATATTCACATCATCCTTGTGCATAGCAGATCTTGTGATATTTTTTACGAATCCCATGTACTTAAGTATTGAAGCACAAAATTTTATTAACTGTACTGCATTAGCAAGCACTAAACAAAACTTTTGTAGAAATTCAATATCTTTTTTAATATTATTAATATTTCTTTGTGTGATTGCTGCAGCAATTGGTTGTGCCTTATTACATTTATGCTGTTTTCACGTTTATATATCTATGTTAGGTATTTCAACCTATGAATATGTCGTAAGAAACAGTGATTCTGAAGCCCCCTTTTACAAATATAAATGTTGTAGATTAAGCATTTCACCAAAGCTTTATGTAATACGAAAATCTAAAGACCAATCTACGTCTGTGGAAAATAATTTAGAAAATAGAGCTATGGGAAGCAAATTAGATGTCTCAGATCCAGGAATAGATGTTGAAAATGGGGAAGCTAATGTTATTAACTTTATCAGCATACTATTAAATAGTGAACTGGATAGAGCAAAAAAAATGTTGTTATATGATAAAAATAAAGTACACCCTCGTGAAGAAAATAGCACTTAATTGGATAGGTATTGTACCTACTTAAGTAGACAAATGAATAGAAACTCCTTCGATTTTGTATGCAATAAATTTACTTTTTAATAAAAATTCTAAATAAAGATTTTTATATCAATAATTGTTGTTGAGGAAATATATTTTTTGTATAATGGTCATTATAGTTTTTTTATTAAGCGTTTTGGTACTGCTGTAATAAAGCATTATAACATATTGGAAATAAGGAAATAACAAGTACCAAAAGCCCTTTTGCTTGAGAAAGCAGTTCTTACAGGAAGCAAAAGCACTCGGCATGTAATACTAGGACTAATGTCCGACCGAAACAGCCGAAACCGAAACCGAACTTTCGGGCCCTTGTTACAGTTCCGACCGAAACCGAAACTCAAACTATCATTTTAAAATTTCGATTGTAAACTGAAATATAGTGTAAGTATTTTTTAGCCGCTTATCGCTTATCACCTAAAACCACCGTAATAAAGTAAACTCTCATGTCATTGATTCTAAATATTAGAAAATGTACTGAGGTAGGTAGATGAAAAACAAAAAACATACGTAGGCACCAAGTACTACTAAATTCACTTGTCCAAAGACATGGAAATTATTGTTTTTTAAATCATATCCAATTGATGAAATGATTAGTTTTAGGCACATGTGATTGTGATTTCGTCATAGATAAAGATAAATGGCAATAAAATCAATCAAAAATCTTTTTATCGAAGATTACAACCTTTTTTTAGATTAACTTTTCGCTAGTCTTGCGCTAGCGTAATAATAATAATTAAGTCGCAGTGATTTGTAAATAAGCCACAGGTGTGATGATATGATTTATAAATCATATCATGTATCACATGTCACACATCTACACATCCCTAGTCCAAATTAATTAAATAAACCGTAAATAAACTAAGTAATTTGAATGATCTATACCTACGCGTTTTCTCATAGTTAAAGTTAAGCAACTTAAGATTACACATAGTAAGTTTTTTGGTAGTTAACATGTTAAATGTTAACCACCTAAAAACTTAACCCCATTGTTTTTTAATTGTGATCAACATAAGTGTGGACACTAAAATCCCCGTCTGCGCTTAATTCATGGATTTAAAGCGAGGTTGCAGCGATTTTGCACTTTTTTGAAGAGAAATAAATACACTAAAATGCATTTATTGTGCATGAAAATAAATATTTTATAAAAATTAAACATATAATATAAGAATCTGCAGAGATAGAAAAATGATTTATGGAATTTGAAAAAATCAAAAACACAGCACTGTCCGTGTGTCACCACCGATTTTCTCAGGAACGGGTGGACCTATCTGCCGTGGAAACCACAACCGACATAAACCAGAACCTCGAAAATGTGGTTCGGATCCTCAGGGAAGAAGGTACGAGATTTTGTGAAATGAAGCGTAAGAGCAGGAAGTCGAAGCTTTCAGAAAGGACCCTTTTTTTTTTTTTTTTTTTTTTTTTTCGTGCGGAAATCCCCTCGGATACCACCTGTCGGTGGCATGTCGGACTCGAACCGACTAAAACCGCACGCCTTCGCCGGGTACTAATAGCCGGGGAACCAGGTATACCCTAGAAAGGAAGGCCCTGGTGCCCCGACATACCTCGGGTCATCTACAGACGAGTAGACGACCCCCGCCCCGTGTGGGAACCCCATGTTCCCTGTGCTCCCTGGAAGCGAGCGCGCTTCGCAACGCGCTCGCCGCCACCCCGGCCTGCTTCTGCTAGGGTGACAGATGGCCTCACCTGTCACCCCCAGGCCTGCGCTTATGGAGGACGGAGGTCGTTCTGCGACCTCCGGCGCCTGAGTCGCCTGCGCTGCCTGGCCCGTGCCCGGGCCTGGCGGGCCGGGAGAGTTCTAAACCTCTCCCGGTCCCGCTCCGCCGTCTCCTTCGCGAGCATAACTTGCTCGCAGAAGGAGACGGCAGAGTTCCAAGCACTCTCGCTCCGCACGATAGCCGCAATCAGGCTATCGAGCGAGAGAACTCCCACTCCGATGGCCGCCACGAGGTCTCGCCTCTGCTCAACCCACGCCGGGCACTCTGCCAGCGTGTGGAGACCCGAGGTATGTCGGGGCACCAGGGCCTTCCTTTCTAGGGTATACCTGGTTCCCCGGCTATTAGTACCCGGCGAAGGCGTGCGGTTTTAGTCGGTTCGAGTCCGACATGCCACCGACAGGTGGAATCCGAGGGGATTTCCGCACGAAAAAAAAAAAAAAAAAAAAAAAAAGGGTCCTTTCTGAAAGCTTCGACTTCCTGCTCTTACGCTTCATTTCACAAAATCTCGTACCTTCTTCCCTGAGGATCCGAACCACATTTTCGAGGTTCTGGTTTATGTCGGTTGTGGTTTCCACGGCAGATAGGTCCACCCGTTCCTGAGAAAATCGGTGGTGACACACGGACAGTGCTGTGTTTTTGATTTTTTCAAATTCCATAAATCATTTTTCTATCTCTGCAGATTCTTATATTATATGTTTAATTTTTATAAAATATTTATTTTCATGCACAATAAATGCATTTTAGTGTATTTATTTCTCTTCAAAAAAGTGCAAAATCGCTGCAACCTCGCTTTAAATCCATGAATTAAGCGCAGACGGGGATTTTAGTGTCCACACTTATGTTGATCACAATTAAAAAACAATGGGGTTAAGTTTTTAGGTGGTTAACATTTAACATGTTAACTACCAAAAAACTTACTATGTGTAATCTTAAGTTGCTTAACTTTAACTATGAGAAAACGCGTA